TAATATAATAATCATATAGTGAAAATTTATTAAAAATAATTAAAAGTATCAAGATTATTTAAAAAATATATAAATTAAGCAAATTATGCAATAAATAATAATGAATAATAAATGCTCACATACACATTTAAAACATTTAAATATACATTTGTTACAGATGGTAAAAATGTTACAATTGGGTGGAGAAACTGTATCAAAACTTGTAAGGAATATAATGTTTCAAATTTTTGGATATGAACTTGCACAGGCATACTCATAGACGGGACAAAAGAAGAATAAATCAGCATTCAGAAAATCAAAATTAGCCGATACAATAATTGGTATATCAATTTTGTACGATTACTTTTTTAATTATTAATGGATCACGTTAATAAATTACGACACGTCTAGAAGATAGACAGAGATATTCTTACTTGCTCATTCGCTCATTTTCACACTCGTTCATTTTGTCACTCGCTTATTCGCTCAATCATTCATTTGCTCACTGGATTACTCGTTTATTCGCTCACTCATTTTATTTCTATCTGTCATTGTCATTGTCTATGTCTTTGTTCTGTTTCTGTCAAAAACATAATCTGAAGAAACGTAGTTTTTTTTTAAATAATTATGTTTACATAGACTTTTCCAAACTCCTCTCATAAATTATGATACTTCCTCGGCCGAGATGTGCTTGAAGAGATTTATGCTTCTTAAAAATTTCCTCCACAAGAAAAAAAGAACAACCGTTCCTTGTAATCTCGTATCTTCGATCTGATTAAGTTGCGTCGCTTGTATCTATTTGCTGGACTCGTGCTATAATTAGTTAACGTTAAAATAATAATTAAAAAAATAATCGTACAAAATTTTCATATCGAAATTTGTCTCAAATTTAAATCAAAACATATCTGATTATTCCGAATCACATTGTACACTTATATAATAATAAAAATATTTGTATATAAGCTGAATTCTGATATTCACTGCTAGTATTGAAAATCTATAATATACGTGTCCTGAACTATATTTAAATATTTAAATATAGTTCAGGATACGTATATTGAAATACAGTTATATTTATATCGATTATTTTATTACTTCGTTTGTAGCCATTGTTTTAAAGAAAGATTCAAATATCAATTCAAATATCACGGTAACTGAAATAGAGGGATGTATGCAAGAGTGGTTGCGACGATCTGGTGACAGATTGCAAATACTACAGAAATAGGTTTTTTTATATATAAAAATGTGTTTTTTATATTATAAATTTTATTTAAAAGTTTATATTTCTAATATTAATAGTTAATAAATATATATTAAATAGACGAAAATAAATATAAATAAAGCTTTGTAAAGAATGTCTATTTATTGTCGATTAAAAATCGACGTAATCACCATAACCTAAATTAAATAATCTGAAAGTCGACTTATTGTCGGCCAAAAGTCAACCTCGTCGCCATAACCAAGCAAAATATGTCGACTTATAGTTATCATAAAGTCGACTTTAAGTTGACTGATATGGCTGACTTATAGCCAACTATAGTCGGGACATTTGTCGACTATTAGTCGACTATAAGTTGACATTCAATCTAATTTTAAAGTCGACTTTAGGCTTTTTCTGCCGACTTATAGTCAACTAATAGTCGGCTTTGTGCTATTTGGGGAGTCTTCATCTACCGGAATTTTATCCGAAACTTGGAGCTTTTGCTCCCGAATTCGTTCACTTTTTTTGAACGATCGATACGACATTGCAGTACTTTTACTCCTCGACTTTTTTCGTCCACTTTTGAGCGATCGACAACGACATTGGAGTATTTTAACTCCCCGAATTGGTTCATTTTGAACAACATACAAACGACACACACAAAATCGACGGAATTCTCCCTATCAGGTAACATAGGCTGTATCCTCTCTGAAGTAACATGGGCTGAATCCCACTTCTGAGATGAAAGATATTTATTAGATTCGGAAAAATAAACGGAGACCGACTGGATTTGAACTCGGGATCCCTCGTTTACTAATCTGACACTTAGTCTGCACGACCACGACGGCTCCTCTCTGTTAGCTGTTTATATTCCGAATCTCTTTCATGACCTTATGGTTGTCTAATTCTTACAATACTATAAAAATGAATGCTTTTTAAAGCTTGGTTGCCTCACCACAAAACGTCGGAGTTGATCGTCTGGAGGTGGCGTCTGATAATGGCGAGATTATAAAATATTGTAGCTCTGAAGGTAACACACCGCGTAGGATAATTTATTCAAAACAGAACATCAGTTACTTTCAGATATGTATATGATAATATGCTTTATATTTTGTATAGCTCGATGCCATCTTATCAGGTATTAGCGATAATCAAGAAACGTCGGAAACGCTCGATCATCGCACAGCGCGTAAAGCGCGAAAGAGTACGAAAATATTTCTGTTTTCTTCTCACACTATGTCGTGAGCGCAAGAGAGACAATAATATTTCTATCCTTTTCTATCGTTTCCAGCTGGCCGAACTTCGAGCGCACATGTACGTGTCTCTCCTTTGTATGCGTGCCATGCGTCTCTCCTCATAGTCGGTCCTTCCAATCAGGGGAACATTCCGACTTTCAAGTCATCGATTTTGCTGAATTTTTATTAAAATGTTGTATTAATATAGATGTAACAATATATAGTAATATATTATTCAGAGATAATGTACTTTTCAACTATTGATGAGAAATTGCGATTTGACTTTTAGCATACTCCATTAATATCATTGCAGTAAAACGTATGACCAAGATTGACGTAGCGTAGTAAATTAGATGCTGCTCTAGAAATGTGAAGATCGCGTGTTCGCATCTCGGTATTTTATAAATCTTTTTTTCTTTTTTTTACATTAATTTTTTTGTTACAAAGAAAAATATTTAGTACATATAATAATAGTACATATAATACGAAAACAAATTCTTTATATATTTAAACTTTTTTATTTTTGTTTTAAATAAAAGTGGACAGTGCTAATATGGCAAGTTTAGACGTATATGCCCAAACAGCACAAAGTCGACTGTTAGTCTAGACTATAAGTTGGCAAAAGAAGTCGATTTTAAAGTTAGATTAAATGTTAACTTAGCGAACGTTAACTTAGCTGACTAATAGTCGACAAATGTCCCAACTATAATCGGCTATAAGTCAGCCATATCAGTCGACTTAAGGTCGACTTTGTGACAACTATAAGCCGACACTTTTTACTTGGTTATGGCGACTAAGTTGACTTTTGGCCGACAATAAGTCGACTTTCAGTCAATGTTATAAGTCGACATCGATTAGATTATGGTGAGTATGTCGACTTTTAGTGTACATTAAGTAAACTATTAAGTTAATAAATAAGTCAACTTTTAGGCAATATTTATAGTAGTATTAATAGTGATATTATATAATAAAAAATTAAAGGCAATTCTCTTTACAAAGCTTTTTATTATAAAATGTGGAGTACTTCAAACATCAACATAAACATTATAAACATAAATGTTTTACATTATAGATACATGTGTTTTCTGTTATATAAAATATATATAGAAACTTAAGTTTTGTAAAACAAATTTAAGTTTGTAAAAAACTCTTTTTTATATATAATATATAAAAAAATATTTTAAAGCATATTGCGCAATAAAAACAATATAAAATTTTTATATTTCTTTCTCAAGAAAGTGAGATGTCAGATATCCGAATAAATTGAATTATTAGAAATTTGACATTTGACCATACTAGTTTCTATGTTTCCATTGATCCTTCGGATTGCTTCTTGCTTTGCCCTCCTTAGGGGAATGGCGTCGAACATGAAGCAAGACACATTGTGATTCTGTTTGAACTTGATTTGTCGCACTTCTAGTTCCGGTTTTTCAAAGTATGGCATTACGTGCATTACCTGAATGTACACTATCTTGGGATCCAATTCGCTTATATCGAATACAGAATCGGTACAGAACCGGGACAGAATCCATTATCATTTTAATATTCTCAGATCCAAACTTTTCACTATACTAACGCAATAATCATTTCGATATCTCAATGATCATTTTGGATTCTTTATAGATGTATTCTTGACCATTTTTCTCTTTAAAGTATGCCTAAATAATGGACGTACCAATTTTGTTATTTCATGATTTTCTTGACAAGTTTCGTTATTTCTTCATTATAAATTTATATATGCATGTATAAATTTTTTTGGACAAAAATATGCATTCTGAAATAATAATGTATCTTACATGCCAAAGAATGCTACTCTGTAAAATCTCCCAAGCAATCTCTTTTCAGTTCGTGTCATTTCTATAATTTTATTTCAGGTTTGCGCCAAATGCGAGTAATAATTAGCTAAAGCTTCGTAATTTTTCTTCTTCTTTTTCTTCTTGTACATAGGAACTAAACAATATAAGTGCCAAAGCAATTCGAAATGCTCAGCTTTCTCCAACGTATCGGCACAAACTTCTAATTGTTCGAGTAAAAAACTTTCATTATATTGAATATCTTGAACATCTAAAAATCTTCAAATTAATATTTCTTATATCTTGATTTATAGATACATGTAACACAATAAAAGCGCAACAAAGGATAAATATAATACAGTAAAAACATACAAATTTGACCAGCATCAAGTTTGAGATTCCGCTCATCTTTCAATATGTTCATGAAATTTAATCAAAAGCCTTTGCGCTCCACGGATGAACTTTCCGCAATTTCAAATATTCAATCATTACCGCTGCTATATGCTATTGACAACAAGCAGCCTTAAAAATTAAAAGTATATGTTATTAAAATATGCGTTAAAAATCTCGTTGAATAACATTGAATAAATATTTAAAATACATAAAAATATATTTTTATGTCAACATAATAAAAATATGTACCTCTGAGAAATTGCCATCTTTGGTATGATTCCTAGCCATCATCTTCAATCATGTATGTCTCAATTCGGGTGTGTTGGCATAAGAATTAGCCAAATTATATTGTAAATCAACCAGCATATCAGAGTCATTGTTATATTCCCGCATTTGCGCAGTTGTCATTAAAATTGTTCTTTTAATAAGATCTTTCACTTCAATTGGAAAACCTGTACTCTTCATCACTTTATCAAAAGAGGCATAGCTGTTGATTAATGATAATGATTCTTGAAATCGTGAATTGTTCAGATTAATTACATCCTTCAACATTTGAGAAAATAAAATTATTATCTACAAATATGTAATAGATTTTAAAGCTTTCATTCTGCTAAAATCAACAAAAAGACAAAAACGTATGACATAAATAAAACAAACTTAGCAATTGTGCTTTCAACAAGAGTACTGTACCTATAAATGCACTCTGATGCCCTTTCCAACTAATAAACTCAAAATTACTTCGCATGAGCAAACATACTAAAGCACAGGACTCCTGTATGAAACTTAGCTTACTATTACAACAATTACTATTACACGTATCAGGGTCTGAAAAGTTTTGAGCCTAACATAGAAATATTAGGTGAACAAAAAAGTTCTGAGCTTTAGATTTTATACAACCGAAATAACAATTTAAATTTTATATATCTTCCCGCCCTTTTGCGGTTTTAAAGCGTTGACATTTGGCCTTCTAAAATGCCATACGGTTTGGCGTTTGATGCACATAACCTCAAAAATCAGTAGTGTTCACGATGGCAATAACAAAAGAGCATATTCGATTTTCTATCCACTTCGCGTTTCATCTGAAGAAAAATGCTGCTGAAGCCACTGCAATGATTTGTGCTACATATGAAGAGAACGCTGTAAGTCATACTACATGTAAAAGATGGTATCAAAAATTTCGCCAAGGAGATTTCAGTTTTGAAGATGAACTGCGTGCTGGACGCCCTCAAAAGATTGAAACGGACGAATTGCAAGCACTGCTGGATATAAACTCTGCACAAACTGAAAAGAAGTTTGCAGAACAGCTTGGCGTTACGCAGCAAACCATTTCCGTACGTTTACATACGATGGGAAAGGTTCAGAAGGAAGGCAGATGGATTCCGCATGAATTGTCCGAAGACAACAAAAATCGTCGGCGTGACATTGCACTCACTTTGCTTTCAAAGTTCCGGAAAAAAGATTTTCTGCACAAAATCATTACAGGCGATAAAAAGTGGATTCTTTATGATAACCCTAAACGTAGAAAATCATGGGTTGACTCTAGTCAATCTTCGACATCGACGCCAAAGCTCAATATCCACGCCAAGAAGGTTTTGCTTTGTATCTGGTGGGATTGGAAAGGTGTGTTGTATTACGAGTTGTTACAACCGGGTGAAACAATCACGGCAGACTGCTACCAACAACAATTGATCAATTTGAGCGATGCATTAGAAGAAAAGAGACCATTTACTGGCCAAGGACATCGTAAAGTGATCTTGCTTCATGACAATGCTCGATCACATGTTGCGAAAGCGACTCAGGACCATATCTTTGTGTTAGGCTGGGAACTTCTCCCGCACGCGGCGTATAGCCCAGACATGGCGCCTTCCGATTACTACCTATTCCGGTCGCTGCAGCATCATTTAGCTGATATACATTTTGTGAGATTTGAAGAGATACGAAAATGCATTGATGACTTTATCGCTTCGAAGCCGGTGAGCTTCTATCGTCAAGGAATTCGCAAGCTACCCGAAGATGGCAAAAGGTCGTTGACGGTAAACGAGGAATATTTCTCTGATTAATATTTTTTTGTTTGTTTTTGAATAAAGATTGAATTTTACAAAAAAAAGCTCAGAACATTTTTGTACACCTAATAAGTATTTTTTCGGTCAAATATAGTTTTACTTTTCAACATAATCTCCTTTTAAGTCGATACACTTTTCCCATCGATACTCTAACCTCTGTAACCCCTCCAAATAGTAGTTGGCGTCTTGCTCCGCAAAATAGTTTACGTATGCGATAATCTCCTCGTTCGATGAAAATCTCTGTCTTCCAAGCGAAACTTTAAGTTTAGGAAACAGGAAAAAGTCGCTGGGGGCCAGATCTGGTGAATACGGTGAGTGGTCAACCAATTCGAAGTGCAATTCGTGAATTTTGGCCATGGTGATCGCCGAAGTGTGAGCAGGTGTTGTCTTGATAGAATAGCACTTTCTTCTTCTTCAAATGCGGCCGTTTTTTTGCAATTTCTGCCTTCAGCTTATCAAGTAATGATGCGTAATACGCTCCCGTTATTGTTTTATCTTTTTCAAGATAGTCGATACACACAATTCCGTGACTATCCCAAAAAACAGTCGCTATTACTTTCCCAGCTGATGGAACCGTCTTCACCTTTTTCGGAGCAGGTTCACCCTTTGCAGTCCACTGTTTTAACTGTTCTTTTGTCTCTAAAGTGTAGTGGTGGATCCAAGTTTCATTTACAGTTATGAATCGACGCAAAAAATCTGACTCGTTTCGTTTGAACCGCTTCAACAGGGCCTTGGAAATGTTCATTCGAATTCGTTTTTGGTCCAAAGTGAGCAAGCGCGGCTCCCAATGCGCGGATATCTTGCGCATATCCAATTCTTCAGTGAATATATGACAAACGCGTTCTTTCGATATGCCCATAGTCTCTGTTATCTCTCTAACCTTGATTCGACGGTCGTCCAGTACCATTTGGTGAACATTTTCGATGTTATCAGCGGTGATTGCAGTTTTTGGTCCGTCCCGAACGCTCATTATCAGCCTAGCTGGTACGATCACATTTAAATTCAGCTGCCCATTGTTGTAG